ACCATGCAAAGATTCTGAAGGACATCGCCAACAATGAAAAGAAACTTACATCGGCTATCAATCAGAGGACTTTTTTTTAAGAACTGGCGGTAATACAAGGCCATGAAGATGATCTCAATAAAGATCGAAACGTTGGCACCATAAAGAAAATGTTTTTCTAAAACCTACGTCAGACAGACCGCATTTCAGGATCTCCAAATAATCATTAATTATCAATTGTTTTTTCTTAAAAGCATTGTTTTAAATCAAGAAGATCTTGCCCGGGTAGATGGGCAGATGCTTTGGTTAACGTCGGACGTAGCGTCGGTTGCATAGCCCAAGCCCTGGATGTGCCGCGCCATCCGTGAACTTCGATGGTTTGGGGCCACCGGAGTCTCAATCGAAGAGACGTTAGTGGTCGATGTTTTATTGCTCTTGTTTCACTACGGAACCGTCCTTAATACCTCCTTGACAGGTAATCAACTCCAAACAATCCGTAATGTAAGGATGAGTTGTAAATCAGTCATCAGAAGACTTCTTGAGAATAGTCTCTAGACGTCCTGTGTCAGGGTCTCTATTCTGAAGAAGCATCAACTATTAGCAAACAGCATCTCGATTAGACACTTGAAAAATGGGGGGTTCTATTATTGTGGAGGATGACCGGCATCCTGTGTGAAGAAGACTTGGACAGCTTTGCTTCATGTGCCATGTGCTTCATTGAGGAAGTTCTTACGGAAGTAGTCTCAATCGCTCCATTTATAGCCCGAGTTGTCTCCATTACTTGGATGCTATTGGGATTACCACATGAATTAGCCAGCATGTTCTCCTGTCATGATTCCTACAGAACACTTATGTGACATGATAAGTACTCTTGAATAATGTTCTCTCTTCATTGAGTCAGCAATGTAGGGGTGAGCTCTAAAACAGTCATCAGAAGGTTTCGAGATAGCCTAGTTTCTAGACGTCTTGCATCAGGTTCTCTACTATGAGAAAGTCATCATCTCGCTTGGACTCTCGAACAATATTCTCTTTACAGATGACTGTGGAGAAAAATTGGAGAACGCTTCGCTTCATGTGCCATGTGTCACAGCCTCTTCAAATACAGTCAATTATGGCATGGCATGGATCCCAATGTCCATGCTCATACCGACCAGATTATCGTACAGAACGGATCATTGACCTATCAAGGTACATTGAGGAAGTTCTTCGCTGCCTCCAACAAGCGTTGAACAGCTTCGAACCGCTCTTTTTGAATAATCGATCAAAAGACATAATCTTATTTACTCGATGCCTGACATAATACGTGTTATTATGTACAAAACCAGCTAATAATTTGTTAGTACAATTTTAATCTATCACTAAATGATTTTCCGGTGTTTTGGTGAATTTTCTTTTAAACCATATGTAATTAAATAATTTTACAAAAACTCATGAATATTTGATTTCATTTAATTTGGTTTACAAGGAAATAAGTGTTTTAAGTAATATAACGATAAAAATGAATATAGTTTGAAATAAACAAAAAAATACGAGGGTCAGGATTTTGTCTTTGTTGAGTTCGCCAGGTCTAGGTCAAAGTGGGCGTGGCTAAGTTGAATTACATAAAGTGGTTACTTTACTTTCACGCTTTATTTCCAAAAAAGGGACATGTTTTCACCAATTTTACTAAATTTATCGTACTAATAATAATTTTGTTTGTTAATGAAAAGTTACAACAGATTGTGTAGTTCGCTGTTTTGGTTGTGAACACTGGTTTGTTCCAAATATGCACAGTGCGAACTGGCGGATTGGAAAGAACGTAAAACGCGTATAATATTATTTCAATGTTTGTTACATTCAGTCATAATTTATAGCTTTCGAACCAGGCGATTTCAACAATTCTGTCAGATTATCTCGCAATGTGAAATTTTAACGAGTATGAATCCTCCCCATATCAATAAATACTGTGTTTTTGTATGTGCTGTTTTTTTAAATTTAGAAATGATAATTTGAGCAGACCGGTAGGTCAGTTTGTAAATGCCAGCAAACAGAAACGAAAGAAACATTGACCACGCCCAGGTAGTGAAAACAACCACATAGCCACGCCCACTTAAAAGAAATTATAATAAAAACTAAAATGTCTTATCTTCTAAAATCTTAACTTGATAAAAATTAATCTGTAATCGTATATCTTGAGAATTTTTGTTTGTTACTTGATTACAAGGCAAATTGTACGATTGTCTTTACTTTTAACATCCCCACCGGTCTTATGCAATATATTAGCATTGTTAAGCGTATAAATTGGACCAGGGACGTCGATTTACTGGAACTCGTTATTTCCATTCCAGTCTTCATAACGATTGGTCGATGTAGACAGTAAACGAGGGACAAAACTAACATGTAATTATAACAGTTCAAACAACAAGGACCGAGAAATGTTTTACTGGCCGGCTTTAAAGCCTCTAAGCCCAAGAACTCGGCGATGAAAGCTTAACTGCTTAATTAAGTCGTTTAAGAGCGGTCGCGCGTGGGCGACCACATATTTCTTTCTGATTGGATCCAAGAACAGGCCGCCCAGACGGTAAAAAACCAATTTGCATAAAGTGTTGATTTTTCAGCCTCGAAAGGATTAGATTCCGAAAGGATTTCTTTCTTCAGAGGAGAAAGTAAAATGATATCTCAATCTCAGATCCTCGTGTAGGGGAAATAGAAGTAACTTAAAAAACTTCCACATATATTATTATTATATTTAATTTATATATACATGAAACTTGAATTATGACTTGATTAAATTGAATTAAGAGAGAGGGAGAGAGAGAGAGAGAGATTAGATAGAGCAAAAGAGATCTAAGAACAAATCTAATCTAAAATATCTATCGAAAAACAAAAACTTACTTAAGCTTGAAACATAATTTTATATTAACTACATGCTCATTCTCATTAATGGGTCATTACAGTATTACAGTATTAAAATATGAGCTTTAGATTACACTTGCAATAAAAAAAGGAGGAGGTTTGTGTTTCGTAAAGATCGGTAATAGATAAAGAAGCCTCAGGCTTATTGCAAAATCGCATACTTACTAATCAAGGCAATCATAATTATGTTTCTTCCTTCAGGCTATTAAGAACATGAATGTACTGCTTGCCGGTTAAGATAGCGTTAACGAGTCAGTTACTTATGTGAATATTTCATCGCGTATTAACTTATAATAGACCTAATTGTCTACGTTTTTATATTCGATTATTTTAGGTCCGCCTGTTCTCGCTGTTGGAACTGTTTGGGTGTACTTACAAAGTTGAGGTATCCTAGGATATCATAATTGCAAAAAATTAATTGCTAAATAGTTTAAATTTAAACAATCCTCTTTTAAGGTTGGTCTCTTTTTACGTCCGTTGAAACTGCTGAAAACTGCTGAAAAGCATCTCACTGACAAACTTTACAGGAATGGCATACCAGGAGTTATAAGAACGATAATTACAAGGGGCATGATAGGTTAAAGCTTTAAAGTTAAAAAGCTAATAAAAGAAAAACAATGAAATAACCTTTCTCTGAATCAAACATGACTCCACATGAGACCAGGCTAATGATTTCAACGATTTATTTGACAACAGCTGCGGTTAGATATTGGAAATCCTCAAAATTAAGAAATTGAGATTAATATATCTGGCAGGAAATCCAAAAATCAATATCGACAAAAAATATCACGTTATTTGGCAAGCTGGAATTGTAAATAATCAATTTTATAAACAGTGTCAGGTTTGATCGATTGTACTACGATGGATGAGTGAACGTGGATAAATCAGTTGATTTTACAGATTGGACTGAAAAATCCCTTGTTTTACAGACAGGGTCTTTCTAAATCAGTTTATTTATAGATTTTGGGTGGCTAAATCAGTTGATTTCAGACTGGCGTGGTTAAATCGGCTAATTTATTGACTAGGCGTGGCTAAACCAGTTGATTTTACAGACTAGGCGTGGTTAAATCGGCTAATTTACTGACTAGGCGTGGCTAAACCAGTTGATTTTACAGACTAGGCGTAGATAAATCGGCTAATTTACTGTCTAGGCGTGGCTAAACCAGATGATTTTAGATTAGGCGTGATTAAATGGGCTAATTTACTGACTAGGCGTGGCTAAACCAGTTGATTTTAAGGACTGGGCGTTGTCAAGAATTTTTTTACAAAAATTCAGTTTACTTTTCCAGTTTCTTTTTTCGATTACTTTTTTTGATTTTTTTTTTCAAAGGAATGGCAAACAGGAGCTTACAAGAACTAAGCTAGCAGAAGAAGGTGAATAACCTGATGAAATAAATTAAGAAGAGGAGAAAGGATTTCATTCTCAAGTGGACGAGATCCTTGTTGTCCTTTTCAGAAAACTAAGTAGTGAGGAAGTAGGAATATATTAAAACCTCTGACGCTTATAAGAGAAGGCTTAAAGGTCATCGGAGTTTAAAATTTAAAGATCCAGCAGTACAAAAAACCTCCTTTTCTACCAAGCTACAACAGGACTCCGCAGACTTATTCAAATATTAAGATTAGATTATGTAAGTCTTATATTTGGAAATCGCCTAAATTGGTCATTACGCTTATATCCACTGATGAAACTAAATTCTAAAACGTAGAGGAAAACATGAACCTGGTCAAATTTAAAGTCCACGGCAAATTCGACACGGGGTCGTTTTGCCAAATTATCAGAAATAGCAAACGTAGCTGTTAGAATGTTACAAAACAATACGTACATATTTATATACTGAACCAAAATAAATCTAAGTTTTACTGTAAAAAGTGCCGCATTCTTGTTTCGTGAGAAGGTTGACTAGATGACGACCAAAACATCTTCGGTCATGAGTCTATGATGTCAATCAAGAAGGCATGTTTGCTAATGCGAGTCCCATCCTCCATGTCATTAACAGAATAATGACGAAATGTCAAGAGGGCACCTGAAGAACCTGGAGAGGGACGGACCGAGAAGAAGTAGCTCCGGGTGGGGGATCGCAAAAAAAGCACGGTGCACAGCCGATGTCGAATCAGTTGGAAAGTCGTAGGCCGTTAGCTGAGAAAGGTGTGTGACACATGAGAGGTCGGACAGACGTGGTGAAGTGCCGTTAGTCGCTCGAAAGGAAATGGGAGCTTTATGTTTCTATAATCGATGTTTTCAGCCCTTGCTCAGGTAAGATGCAAAAATTCGGCATGGAAAAATAAAAGCCTAATGGACATTCCGACATAGGGACTCTTGACGAGTCGTCTGTCTTTTCTAAAAACGAGAGAAAACGATGAGGACACTTAAAAGAGGATTTACTCAAATATCATCCCTGCCTCTTATTAAACTTTACTTATTTACAATCCTTTTTTCAATACAAGCCGCTTGCTTAAGCTTTGTACAATTTATGCAAAGCCTCTTGACAAAATATATGTTTAAAACATTGCCAGAAAACGAAGGGGGTGGCATTATTTCGAAAATATTTTTATTGAACCATACTACACGTGCGCTTTTGAGTGCAGACCAATTTCCAGATCCCTCGCTTTCCCATCTTATTGGTTTTTCAGATAAGCCCTTCCCTTATGGATAAAAACACAAAACAACCTTTTAACTATTATTGATATAAAACGAAAAATAAGAGTCATTTGAAGAACCATCTTGTTTCATCTTAAATTTCATTAAATCTTTTTTTAATTATAAAATATTATGATTTCCAAATGAAGTACATCGTACAAGAACTGCCTGTTAAGATTTTTAAGAGATAAATTTTTTCCGTATAAATTTAAAAAAAAAAGCTAAAAATCAAATTATTTCTTCAGTGTTAATTTTGAACACGGTCTCAAAAATCGATTGAAAATTTTGACTGCGATTATACATATGAGAACTGTCTGATATTATTATTTGTAAAGTATGATTATTATTGTGTCTTTATTTCCCTATTTATTTTGCGGGTTGTTTGATTAAACTATTATTAAAAAAAAGAGTGATAGTATTATTTCAACAGTGCTAAGTCAAGACGCTACCGATCTCGTTTTGCAGTTCAAGGTCTGAATTTGATGAAATTCTTACGAGCGAAAAAATAAATGGCGTTATTTTCACTGTGTCTTTATTAAAATGTTGACCTTTCCATTTTATTTTACAGTTCCAAGTCTGTATCTGATTCTATTCTTGTTAGATAAAGGGGGTTGTCGTTATTTCTACGGTATAGAATAGAATAATAGAAGCTGCACGGAATTCTTTATTTTCCCAACTTATTTTACATTTCTAGATATACGATGAACTTTTCACTAGACGAAAAGAAATAATAAATCTACAGTATACTTATGGAAACTGCAGGAACTTCCTTCCTTAATTGTGCGCTTTAAATATAATATAACAAAATTTATCGAATTTTTATTAGAAGAAGATAAACAGCGTTGTTTCTACAATTTATTAGAGTTTTATAATTTATTTTACAATTCAGTTTATAATAAAAGAAGAGGGTGTATTATTTCTGCAGAATTTTATGGAAAATGTCCTATCCTATTTTATAGTAAAAAATCTGTACTTGATTAAATTTTTTTCAGAAAAAAAAATTACGAAAACTGTATGAAAATGTTCACTTTTTCATTTTATTTTACAGTTCAATTTCTTTGTTTAATTAATTTTTTATTAAAAGAAAATAAATGTCGATATTTATATGGTGTATAAAAGTGACCTTACTATCTTATTTTCCATTTCTTTGGACTAGATCTGAAAATTTGTCTCTTGAGAGTTTTTATTATGTATTACAACATCAAGAAAAACCAAACATTAATGTACAGGGTGTATCAACTTCTATAGTCCACCCATTTAATCCGGAAACGATTAACTTGAGCAAAAAATGGTCTTAAACAACAACACAAATCCCAAGTTTATTTTGCCTACGAATCGCGCGGTGGTAGCAGATTTGACATAACTTTCTCATCTAGCTGGGAAATGACCCTAACTTTGTTCTTTTAAATGGGAATCTCATATATTTACTATATATTTCGATTCTAGAGCTTATTTTAGGCTACTTTTACTGAAAGGAAAATTTTGACAGGATCGACCATTTCTGAGTTATGCCCGATGGAAGACGCCTGAGGGGGTATGCTTTTTGTAACAAGAAAATGGCCCCCTTCGTTTATTTCGAAAACGGTTAACTTTAACAAAAATGGTCTTGTACAAACCCCAAGGTAATTTTGGCTAGGAATCGTGTGATGGTAACAGATTTAACGTAACTTTCTCATCTAGCTGGAAAATGACCCTAACTTTGTTATTTCAAGGGTGTATACTTATAAACCCTCCATGAAAATGACCTTGCTATCTTATTTTCCATTTCTGCGACTAGAACTGAAAATTTATCTCTTGAGATTTTTTTGATTGTGTATTACGAACAGTCAAAAACAGAAAAACGAATGAAATTTTTGACTTTCCCATTGTGCCCCACACTCCATTGACTGTCTTGTACTGCTTGAGGAGGAGTAACTGCGCAAAGGCACTTAAAAATTTTAAAAATATATAAGTGATCTGCTTGTTTTTTCTAATTTTGCAGTTTAAAATCTGTAATCGATTATATTCTTATTAGAAATCGAGAAATGTGGTACTTTCATAAAATACTTATGGAAACGTATTAAATAGTTGACATTCCCACCTCATTTACATTCCAATGTCTGTCTTTTATAAAAAATTTATTATAAGCAAAGTTTCTGCTTTATTTTTACAGAATTTTAATGAAAACTGTACGAAAATGTTTGCTTTCCATATTATTTTACAGTTCAATGTTTTTATTTGATTAAGTCATTATTAAAAGAAAGTAACTGCCGTTATTTGTACAGTGTGTAGTTATGAAAACTGCGCGAAAATGACCTTCCTGGGCCTAGATTTATGATAAAAATTCTCTTTAAAAAAAATACTTTATTTAGTTAAATTATAAAATTGTTTATTTTACATCTCGTCAAGAATTGTCGTTATTTCTACAGCATAGGAGAACCTATGAAATAGTTTATTTTTCCATTTCATTTTACAGTCCAAAATCTGTGTTTGATGGAATTTTTATTAGAGGAGAACCTGCGTTATTTTTACAGAATCTTCTTGTTGTCTTTTTCTTCAATGTGCTTACAGAAACTTGACGAAATTGCCCTCTTTCTCGTATTATTGTGCCTTTTAAGTTTAATCAAACAATTTGATTCAATTTTCATTATAAGAATGTGAACAGCGTTATTTCTACAATATTTTCATATAGACTGCTTGCAATTGTTTGGCTTTCACCTAAATTAATTAAGGTTTTTAGTTGAGATGAAAAAGTCAGTGTCACGAGCGGGATTCGAACCCACGACCTTCGGCTAAATACGCCGCTACTCTACCGGCTCAAGTGGTATAGTAGCGGCGTATCATTTTTCATCACAACTAAAAACATTAATTAATTGAAAGATATTAATTGGTCAAGCGGACCACGAAAACTAGTGAATTTAATAAGTTAAAATGAAGTATACTTCACTAAAGCTCTTCGTGACCATTTCATTTGTCGCCGAGAATCAAATAGATTACACGACATTTGGAAAATGGCAAAAAGGAGGGAAAATTTATAAAAAAGTGGGGTTGAGATGGGAAGTTAGTGCCCGAATGGATCGAAGTCACGATATCTCAATTGGTAGAGTAACGGCGTTTCTAGCCTAAGGTCGTGGGGTCGAATCTCGCTCGTGACACTGACTTTTTCATCTCAACTAAAAACCTTAATTAATTAAAAGATATTAATTGGTCAAGCGGACCACGAAAACTAGTGAATTTCACCTAAATTTTACAGCTTCAGTCATGTTAAAGTACCTTTTTATCAGAAGAAGAGAAACAGTTTTATTACAGTTTAAAGTGATAGAAATTGAATGAAATTGTGAAATATGGACTTTAATGATATTAAAACAAAAAACTGTCTTTCACTTAAAAACAATTTTAAGTTAACTATAATCATGGGAGTTTTTTTACAACACGAACGAAATTGTATAAATATATTTTTTTATGAATTTTAACCAGTTAATTACTTAAATGTCTGACCAGTACAGTTAACCCGCTTGTAACAGAGATTTCGTTAAAATTTGCACAAATTAATATTCAAACGTTTTCATCAAATGATAGCGCTATGTTCAGCGGGAAGGTGAAAAAAAACATGTAACCGTTTTACATAATTAACACCCCTATTAGAAAGCATCGAAACGTTTCGAACGGCCATCGTACAAAGAAGTGAAAAATAGGTAAAAATAGATCTCCCCTTGAAAGACCACACAATAGAACGATATTTGAGATGTGAAGAAAAATATGATAAAAGCACTCTGTACGGCCTCTTGAGATGTTTTTTTTATCATGTATTATGAAAATAAAGGGCAACCTAACATTAAAATATATACGGAAAAAAACATTTTCGGGGTAAAATTCATTATTGCACTAGCAAAAGATAGACAAAATGTGAGAAAGAGAGAAAAATGAAAAAACAGAAAAAAATAGGTGAAATTAATATATTATACTGAACTGAAACCCACTGGGTTTATTATTATTATTTCTATTACAATTTCATCTCATTTGACAGCTCGAAGTATGTTTGATTAAATTCGTATTAGAAATAAAAAAATATTGTTATTTCTATAGGTTTTTTAAGAAAAATATCGTTATTCTACAAGGTTCTGATATAATGTGTATGAAATTGTTAGATTTTCTACTTATTTTACAGTTACAAGTCTGTATTTGATAAATTTCTATTAGCAGAAAAGAAATGACGTTATTTCTACTGAACTTTTATAAAAATGTGTAACATTCTTAGTTTGTTCATCTTGTTTTACAGTTTCAATATATAATTGATTAACTATTAATTAATAATTATCATATATAATATCATTAATTAATCATCTTTTTTCACAGTCTGTTTTTGATTCAATGCCTATTAGGAACAGAAAAATATCGTTATTTCTATAAGGCTCTTATGGAAAATGTGTTAAATCTTTTGGTTCGGCATCTTGAATTGTCGTTATTTCTACAATTAATTAAGGTTTTGGTTGAGGTAAAAAAGTCAGTGTCACGAGCGGGATTCGAACCCATGACCTTCGCCTAAATACGCCGCTGTTCTACCACTTGAGCTATCGTGAGTTCGATCCACTCGGACACCAACTTCCCATCTCAGCCCACCTTTTGAATTTTCCCTC